TATTCTACTCTACTCTTATTCTACCCTACTATTCTAGTCTACTCTACTCTTATTCTACTCAACTATTCTATTCTATTCTACTCTACTCTTTTTTTAAAAATAAATTTTTATTACATTTTACACAATTAAAAACAACACCAATATACAAAACAGCACAACAACACAAATACCATTTTTACAATGTTGTGACATCTACTTTCCCAGTTTCTGTATATTTATATATACATTGATTTGTTTATATTATTTTTTATTCTTGCTGTCCTATCATCCAACCAATTATAACATTTTTTTTCCAGACTGTATAATATTCCTTCTCTTCCCTCTCTTGTAATTCCAACGTGAGTTTTGCTATTTGTGCACACTCCATAATTTTGTTTATGATCACACTGTCTGTGGGGTTACTATCTGGTTTCCAACTTTGGGCAAAGGTTATTCTTGCTGCTGTTAGAATGTGTATCATGAGATATTCAATTTCTTATTCTATATTCTAGTCTACTCTTATTCTACTCTTCTATTCTATTCTATTCTACTCTACTCTTATTCTTCTATCCTATTCTATTCCATTCCATTCCATCCCATCCCATCCTATCCTAAAAAGATAAAGCCAACTCTGGTTTCCTGCACATCTAATGCTCTGCCAGGCCCAAAGTCACCCAGCCGGTTTTCATAGGTCTCCTGGTTTTTTAATCCAGCCTCTTAAACCACAACACCAAACTGACACAACCCACAGTTCCTGCTGTGTTTTGAAACGGTCCCATTCAGGTTAGAAGGCAGAAGTTGTGTTGCTGATATTTTGAAAGGAACAAAGTAAATGCCTTTTAAGTTTCCCACCAGTTAAAAGTGGGGAAAGGATGATTTTTTTCCCCCTTACCCAAAGGTTTTAAACCCAAAATCAGGATTTTTCAGCCTTTGCCCGTTAATCCCCCCCAACCAAATCAAAAACGTTGGCTTCACACAACGTTGCGATCGTTGAACCTAATCCAAGAAGCTACCGATTGTTAAAACAAGTCAAGTTTGTATTTCGGTGGCTGCCTTAATTCGATGAATTCAAATAAGTAAGGAAATGATTCTTGTTCATTTTACTTATTGCTGGTTTTCTGGGAATATCCAGGCGAATGCTGGTACCACGTTCCTTCTCCTCTGAAGCAGAAGTTAAAGCAAGTGTCCGTGGGACGAACGGCTGTGCTGGCGGTGGATAAAAATGGTGAGAAGAGAATCCTGCGTTCCTGGTTGGGTTTTTGTTTTTGTTTTAATGTTGGTTTTTTTGGGGGGAAAAAATCTGGTTTCTTTGAGTTGCTCGTCAATTCTGTAAGTGCTCCATTGGAAAGGAAGTGCAATTATTAAATCACTGAACAGTCCATAATAGTTTGTGGTTAGCAATTGAATTGTTAACCATTCATTCATTAGCTACTAGCTCAATACCCGTGCTTCTCTACAAACTATGTGGTCAGGATTAGTTTTGGGGGAGGAAAATAAGAGGGTGGGAATTGTGCCTCTGCCTACCAGCATCCATCGGTATTCATCTGGCTAGCTTCCTGTCAGTGTGTGAGAGAGTTGAGGGCTGTTTGGAAACTAAAAGAGTATTTGCTGTGTGAGCAAGAAGGAGACAGCAAGGAGCCTGGGCGTGGCTTAGCTCAACTTGTGTACTAAAGCTGCTTGGTGCTGTGAAACTGAAACTCCTCTGCTTGTGTTTTCCATTTGGAACAGATTTCAGGTGGGGAAGGGGAGTAGAACTCCTTAGCATCAGAGCATGTTAATAATAATAATATAGGAAATATTCTAAACGCTCTGATGGTCATTTCGAAAAATCCTTTCTTAGTGAGCACCTAGAAGCCAAGAGGAACAGACGGGCCAAATGTCAAGTTTGTAGGCTTTACAGTTCTGGAGATTTTGTAATGAAGCATAAGGGGTATTTTGCTTTTATATATAGAGATTGTTAGTAGGTTATAATAGCACTGAAAAAAATGACTTATGGACCAGTCCTCATACTTATGACCAACACCGCATCCTCACAATCATGTGGTTGAAATTCTGGCGCTTTGCAATTGGCACATATTTACGATGGTTGCAATGTCCCAGGATCACCATGATCCCCGCTTGTCATCTTCCTAGCTGACTTCCGACAAGCAGAGTCAATGGAGAAAGAATGGATTCGCTTAATGATCGCACAATTAACTTAATAACTGCTGCGATTCACTTAATGATGGCACAAAAAGGTCATAACATGAATCCCTTAACAACTGCCTTGCTTGGCTATGAAAATTAATTGTGGTCATAAGCTGAGACTACCTGTATTGGATTAATCAACACTTGTCGACAAGACATACGAGGAATAAGATGACAAACAAGTATATGAGTTTATTTCTGCTTGGTCTGAAATTTCTCAATCCCCTCTTGTCTTTTATAGGTAATCTGTGGTTTCGTGCCGGAATCACACCGAGTTACCCTCAAGGATCTAGTTGGGAACATATTTCAAACAACGTCCGGAAAGTTTCTGTGGGACCCTTGGATCAGGTGTGGCCGTAGTAGAAAAGTATATATTTTAAGAATTTAAACCAGTGGTTTTTTTTAACCTTAGCCACTTTAAGGTGAGTGGACTTCAACTCCCAGATTTCCAAGAAGCTTTTCCAGTTCTCTAGAAGCTGGAGGAAATTCTAGGAAACGGGCACTTTGTGATTGGTGATACCTGCCATGTTATGACTAGAAAAATACTCCACCAGGCTGCCATTTTGTGAAAACACCTCAGCCATCTTCTTCTCCCAGTTCAAAAAATTCCCCCATTAGCTCCAAAAGGGCAGCCATCTTTGACGTGGGCATTGTGTGTTAATGAAGGGTGGCTTGTAATGCCTGTCAGGTGATATTTTGTTTTTGTTTTTTTAGATCTGGGTGATAGCTGACAAAGTCCAAGGGAGTCACAGCCTGAGCTGTGGAACTGTCTGCCGTCGGACCGGCGTCCAACCGTTGGAACCCAAGGGCGCCTCTTGGGACTACGGCATTGGGGTGAGCCTCAGAAACACCAAACCTGGCTTCTCTCCATCATCCTTCCCTGCAGTATCCTTCCCTGCCACGCCCACCAAGCCACGCCCACGGAACTGGTACTAAAAAAAAAAAAAATTGAATCCCACCACTGAGTCACTCCCAGGTGCAGGGCAACTTGTCCTTGACTCTCTAAGAAAGGAATGTTTTTGTGTCTAGTCTCCTACCTCGCTATGAAATCCCCCCTCCCAAATTCCCAGGCACCGAATGTGGCAGCCTGGAAGCTTCCAAGTATAAAATGGCTTCCAAGGCTGACACTCCAAAAAGTGAGGTTTTCCCAACGCCCCTTTCTAACCTATTCCCTCCCCTTCCTGACTTTGCAGGGAGGCTGGGAACACATCACCGTACGAGGAAACGCCACCGAAAGGACCAAGATGGCAGCTCAGGATGGTCCAAGCAGCTCTCCTCGGGACCTTAGTAGCTTAGAAGTTCCCGGAAGCTACGAGCCGCGAACCACCATTTTTGTAGACGGCGTCCAAGGCTTGGACCGAAACGCTGTCCAGTGTTGACTGGTCTGGTCTCTTGAAGTTTCCACCTTCCGCTCATTCTGGATCACGGAAGCTACCCTGAAGACTAGGCTGGTGTTTGAACGCTCGTTCTGAGTGTGCCAAGAGGCCAAGTCAACTCCCAAGCATGCCGTACTACTGAACCCTTCCATCTTGTGTCCCTTTGGTGAGAGAGCGGGAGTGTTGACCCCATCCTCCTCCAAGGGATGCTCCACCCTGGGTGTCTGCCAGGTGTTGTGCGGTTGTGATCTCCCAGAATTCCCCACTTCTCAATGAGCCTTCTGGGAGTTAAGATTCAACACACACACAGAGAGAGAGAGAGAGAGAGAGAGGAGAAGATGCAAGAGGGAGAAGATCTGGTTTGGAGATGGTTGAATGGAAACACTGCATGTCCATCACCCCAGTGGGAGAACTGGATGTTTGTGTATATGCTGTGTGTGAATTCTGCTTGTGTTGTTGTTTTAACCCCTTAATTTATTGTGGTGTTCCTTAGGCCTGGTGGAATAGGATGTTCTCCAGTAGCTCTGGATTCGTTCCCATCCACTAAGCCATGGTTTATGCTGGCCAGTACATGACCCAACATGTAGCTCGACCAAGGTCGATTAACCCTTTCTATTATAAGCCCCCACTCAAGAGTATCTTTGACCCCCACCCCAACCCTGGCTTTTCTTAGATGTTCCACAGGCCGGACCTGATCTAGGCTGAGCCAGCCTCCCTGACGGTTGACATAAATAAACTAAGCCAGTTTAGTTAATTCTATAGCAAGCACTTCTATTTTTTTTTTTTAATTTCTCCAAAGGCCCCAGGGGTCCTTACATTTGTCACCCAATGCTGACAATTAGCAGAGAAGAAGCTGGGGTTGATTGGAAGCCAAGATTGGCCACTCCTGGGGGAAAAACAGCTGTGAAAATGGTCAATTGCCTGTTGATTTAGGTTTCTGAATCTCTGCAACTCAAAGATAGAGAGATTGACCTTTCTTTCTTTCTGTCTTTCTTTTTCTTTTCCTCTCTTCCTCCTTCCCCTTTTCCTTTTTTCTTTCTTTGCCCCCTTCCTTCCTCCCTCCCTCTTTCTTTCTCCCTTCCCTTCTTTCTCCCTTGTTCTTTTTTTCTTTCCCTTTCTCCCTCCTTCCCCTTCTTTCTTTTGTTGTCTTTTTTCTTCCTTTTTCCCCTTCCTCCCTCCCTCTTGCTTTCTTCCTTCCCCTCTTTCTTTCATTTCATTTTCTTTTCTTTTTTCTTTCTTTTGCCCTTCCTCTTTTTTCTTCCTTCCCTGCTTTTTTTCTTTCCCTCTCCCCCCTTCCCCTTCTTTCTTTCATTTTCTTTTTCCCCTCCCTCTCTCTTTCTTGCTTTCTTCCTTCCCCTTTCTTCCTTTTTCCTTTCTCTCCCTCCCTCTTTCTTTTCTTTTTTCTTTCTTTTCCTCCCTCCCTCCCTCTTTCTTCTTTTTCCCCTCCCCTTCTTTCTTCCTTCCTTCCTTCCTTCCTTCCTTCCTTCCTTCCTTCCTTCCTTCCTTCCTTCCTTCCTTCCTTCCTTCCTTCCTTTCTTTCTTTCTTTCTTTCTTTCTTTCTTTCTTTCTTTCTTTCTTTCTTTCTTTCTTTCTTCTTTGTACACTAAAATAGCTAAGTGAAGGACACTCCTGTCTCCTTGTTTGGTCCCATTGACTTAATCAAAACATGGAGATAGGTCTCCAGTTGTGCATTTTCTCTTGTGCTGCTTCTTGAGAGAGAGAGAAAGACAGTAAAGTGAGCCGTTTTGTATTTGAAATCAATATATTTACATTTCTTTCCCTTTTAGCGCCTGGGTAGCTCTGACGCCAAGTAAATGGAGGGAAGAAATACAGGAGGGATGAATGTGTTTTAAGCATCATGTTCTCAAAAAAAAGGGGGGGGGAGGGAATAACTGTTCTGTTTTAAAAGCAGGACGCTTCCTTTTGCATTGGTGTCCGGTTTTTCAGAGTGATATTTTTGTATTTATTGCTGTTGGGGGTGAGGTGGGGGAAGAGAAAAAAATTGTGGCTCTTGATACGTGGACACTTGTTTATGAAATATTCACATTTTATTCAATATTCAAGCAAAAGCGGGACCTATTTTCCCTTCCCAACACTGAAGGACACAGTTGGGGTTTTTTTTTTTGTCTCTCTGCCTGAGGACCGAGAAGTAAAGAATTGTACGTGTCTACCTAAATCAAAATTCACCCACGCCAAGAATCGAAACCCAACGAAACGTAGAAATGGACAATAAAATCAAATCGGATGTTGAACCGCGCACATTTCATTTCTTCATTTGAACGTTTCATTTCTTTTAAAATGAAATTGGGAAAACAGCAGTTTTGGGAAGGAGGCATCCCTCTCGGAATAGGAAAAGCTGCCGCGAGGAGCAGACTATTATTCCCTTAAAATAGTCCAACATCCCAAAATATCTGAAAAGCCAAAAGTTCGCATTATCTAATCAAATGGCCAGATTTTTTTTTGCAAGCACTGAGCTTTTGCGGGGGGGGGGGGGGGGGGGTAAAAATCCCACATGCAAAATAAGAACCTGGTTGGGGGTCACCCTAAGCCATCTTTGACTGGTTTCTTTTTTTTTTTTAAAACTAGTTGACTAGGGATTTAATTTAAAAAAAAATAGATTGCAGGATGCAACCATAAAAGATCCTTTCTGTTGGGTTTCCAGAATAATGATGGGTGCATGCAGACACCGGGACTTGAGCTGAATCCATAGAAGACCAAAGGGGAGTTATTTAATCGCAATAATCTGGGTTAATAATTCTATTGCCAACATGCAACTTTTCAGCAAGTTATCCCTGTGCTGTTTCTTCCCTGCTTTGCTTTCCCCCTCAAATAGACTCACACTACAAGACAGAGCCAGTGTGATCAAGGCAGAGCCAGTTTGATCCCAGTCTACCAGGAGACTGTTGAGTTCTAGTCCCGCCTTAAGACAGGAAAGGCGGCTGGATGACTTGGAACCAATCCTCAGGAGACCCATGAGTTCGAATCCTGCCTTAGGCAGGAAAGCCAGCTTGGATGATTTGGACCAATTACTCTTGTTCCAATCCTCACAGGGTTGTGAGCAAAATAGGAGGAAGCTGGGTCCAGATATATTGGCTGCCTTGAATTGCAAAAAATAATAAAAGCGGCTTGCAAATTAAAATAATGATAAAATTTGTCCTCCCCCCCGCCCCACAAAAAAAATATATAGAAGGAACTGGATATAAATCATATGGCAATATTTTCTACACAGAAGGGATGGGGAGGTAGTATTTCTCTCTCGAGTTAAATTGCTCTCTATGAGAAGGTGTCAGCCACGATTCCTTTTCACCCTTTTCCCCCACACACACACACACGCGCGCAACCAACAACCCTTTGGGATTCCTGGTTTTGCAAATGAGCGGGTGAACCCAACCACCATGAACCTGATTTTACAAGCAGGGTTTTGGAGCGTTGAGGTGTTCCTCTGCCAAATCTCAGCGGATGCTTTCAAGCCGGAAGAGACGTGAGCAGATGCACCGAAGAGAATCGAGAGAAAGGGGTGGATTGTTGTTGTTTTTTCTTCTTTTTCCCAAACTGGTTTTTCTGCTCTGCCCTATAAGTGTCTTCTACAGAGATTAAGAAGAGCGATGTTTGGGTTGGCACCAAGGTGGAAAGTGGATCCTGTAATATCTTTACCTGCTTAATTTGTGCAAAGGGGTTTGCGATTGTTCCTGGGTTGGTACAAGTGGACTCTTTTTTAACTGCTTGCAGGTCAAAAGTGTCAGAAGTCGCTCATTGAGACAAATGACGGTCCAATCGCTTCTTGAAAACTTCCTCGATTAATTGTTCTCGCTGTCAGGAAATAGCTCCTTCGTTCTAAGTTGGTTCTCTCTTTAGTTAGTTTCCACCCGTTGCTTCTTGTCCTGCCTTCTGGTGCTTTGCAGTTTTCTTGAGTTCCTTCCTTCCAACATGTTGGACCTTCTCTCTAACTTAGAGGAACTGTAGAACTTCTAAAAAGTTACACACCACCTTCCATTTCAGTTTGGGGGCTCCACGGACTGAAGGGTTATTGGGTAAGGCAATTTGTCACCATCTTCTGAGAGATCGCCCCCCCCCCACTTCCCAATCTAAGTTGTGGGTCTCCTTGTTCCTCTTTCACCCAATGACCAACCTGGTTTCTTTTCCTTCTTCGGTTCGAGCAACCTTAGGCGAGGTTTACCTGAGAGCTGCTGGCTGATGAGATGTGGTAGAACTTAGATCAGGGGGTCTTCAAACTTGACAGCTTTTAAGACTTGTGGACTTCAACTCCCAGAATCTCTCCTCCAGTCATGTCAGCTCGGGAATTCTGGGAGTTGAAGTCCGCAAGTCTTAAACTCGCCAAGTTTGAAGACCCTTGGATTAGATCTTCCCTTTGAAACAGACCAACCCTCTTGACCACATTCTGAAGTTGATATTTTCCAGGGTCAGAAGAATAGAACAATTTTAGAATGGAATGGAATAGGATTCAAAAGAATAGAGTAGAGTAGAGTAGAGTAGAGTAGAGTAGAGTAGAGTAGAGTATAGAGTAGAGTAGAGTAGAATAAGAATTATTAGAATTATTAGAATTAGAATTAATTAGAATTAGAATTAATTAGAATTTAGAATTAGAATTGAGCTGGAAGGGACCTTGGAGGTCTTCTAGTCCAGCCCCTGCTCAAGCAGGAGAACCTATATAAGAATCAGTGTTGGAAGCAGTAGAGGAAATGAGATTAGAATCTCCATGTTACGTTCTGTGTCCAACCTCCAACTTTGGAACAGAGAAGAGGAACCTATCTGAGATGTTACCCCAAGGAACATCTTAAGTGTGTCCCTTAAGTCCTACAGAAAGCTACAGAAAAGGGGTCTTCTAGAGATATACAGATACAGATAATCAGAGTTGGAAGGGACCTTGTAGGTCATCCAGTCCAAGCCCCCCGCCCAAGCGGGAGACCCTACACCATTTCTGACAAATGGTGATTTGTCAACTGGATGCCACCTCTGATGGCTCCACACACCACAGATCCAGACTTCAACTCTGCCTTGAACCCCATCCAGCAGATTGTCGTGGCCCTGCCCAGTGTGACATCTGCGCTCGAAACGGCCAACCGAGAACAATTCCAGGTCTCTGTTAAGTGGGTGAACTTAAAACAATGGCCATTGGAAGCGTGATCAAACTCCGGAGAACAGATTCAAGTTCTCCGCAGCCACCTCCCTTGGCAAAGAGGGCATTGTTTTGTGTTGAATAAGTCTTCTCTTCTTCGTCCCAAGTGATGCAGAAGATTCGACTCTGATCAAGGGCACCTCTGCCAAAAGCGGTAAACAACGGTGACCTTTTCCAACCATTCTTTTGTGTACCTTTTCCAGGGCTTTGATCTCCTGCAACGGAGGGGACGTTTTGAATGCCACCAAAGGCAAACCTGGGAGTCTGCACAACCGCTGGGCTGTTGAAATGATCCCACTGGCATCTCACTCCCAGCAATAATACCGGTAGTTCTGCAGAATTTTTAATATATATATTTTTTTTAATGTTAAAAAAAAATGCCGACTGGTTTAGGAGTGTGGCCGATTCAGGACATCCGATTAAAGGCAGCTATTGTTTTTATGTTCCCTCCCCAGAAGGAAACAGAAAAGACCTGACTTGAAATAAAATGTTCTTTAGTCTTAAAAAGAAAAAGAAAAGGGGAGGCAGGGGAAGCACAAACAACTGGTTCCTAAGTAGCTAGTGCAGAGGTCCCCACACTTGGCAACTTTAAGACTTGTGGACTTAAAATTAATTTGCGATGCTGGCTGGAGAATTCTGGGAGTTG